AGTTGGCAGCAGAGGTTTCTGTGAAATGCTGTAGAGATTAGTTAATTCAAAACCATAGAGTTCAAAACACACATTAAACACACATTAAACATGGCTTAATTGAGACAATTTCAAACACAAGTACACAAATCGGCTTCACTATAACTCGCAGCATTCACAGACAAACACTTGTCTTTATCTGGACACATTTTTCCCACAAATACAACATGCTAATGTTTTTAGCACAAGCTTATGGCATTTTACATTGTATTTATTAGCCTAGTGATGAGTGGAGATTTCCTCTGCTCATATGAAGCCAGGATAAATCACACACAAGACCTACAATGCTATTTTTGTGGAGGCTTTATCATTTACACAATTTATTGTTTCTTATCTGTGAAATTAAAGTAAATAAAAGCTTCGTTTCCACTGAGGGAAATGGTTTCTACAGCGTAGGTTACGGCATGCTCTGCGTTGACGACAGCGTCAAATTCAACGCAGAAGTAGGTAGATAGATAAATAGATAAATACTCTATTGATCCCGAAGTATAAAGTCTGCCATAGTGTGGATGTGGCCTTAGTCACTCTGGATGATCCATTTCACTCCACCACTTTCACTAAAGAAATAGTACCAATGAAAACTGCTGACAGTGAACAAACAGGACATTGTTTCTTATAAACATTACCATTAAGTGTTTCAAAATGTCATTTTTCAATGTTGTGACCACGACAAATGTTATTTCCTTTTTTTTTAAATTGGTGTTTTCAGGTAGAAGGGACAAAAAAGGGGGATGGGGGTTGGTTAGGGCCACACAGTGGTACAGAACAGGGTTTTTCAGTGAGCCAATCAATAGGTTACATCTGTGTATGGCAGCTGCTCTGTAATTGGATGTTTCTTGTTGAAATGATTCTTGGGGCCACAAATGTTTTAGCACAGACTTGAACCATCTCTTTTTTTAAAGATCAAAGATTCAGGTATTTTTCATAATGTAACAGATCCATCATTGATCCCTCTGGTACCATATACACTCATCAACTATGCCTGCACATGGTGTTCCCTATAGAATGTTCATGATTAGAGTACCTGTGCCCTTCATTCAGCCCCCTCCTGAGTTCTTCGTCACTGATCATATGTCCAGGTTTCACAGAAAGATTGTTTTCCTCTGTTCAATAGCAGTGCATTCAGAAAGTATTCAGAACCCTTCATCTTTTTACACATTTCATGTTGCAGCCTTGAATTATTTTCCCCCTCATCACTCTGCAGTTAATGCCGCATAATGAGCAAGGTACTTACCCATAGTCAGTGTATTCCCCACAATAAATGGTGGTTGGCAGACTCCCAATTTGGAAAAACAGGTGGCAGCATGGAAGCTAAGCAATGTACTGCTGTTGGTGGGGGTGGCAGCAAAACGTTTTTTAGCCACTTAAAAAAAGAGTAGTATCAATTTGAGAGCATGTAATGTTTAGAACATTTTCACCACTGTTAAGTGACAGGGAACAGAAGCCATAATATAGCTCTCTTTAAAGCCACCAGACTCCTTTGACAAAAATAGTATTTTACCCAGTAAAACACATGAGTTTCAAAACTGACATTGACACAGTTGGTTGGTTTGTTTGTTACTGTGTGACTTTGGTGTTTAAAATAGTTCAGATTCACCAAAGTTACACAACAACACAAACCATCCAATTGAGGCAGTGTCGGACCAGAAACTCCTGTGTTCTGTGAGGTGAAATGACTCTTTTTGTCAGTTTGGTAGTTTTGAAACAAGTGACAGAAGTTTCCACCAAACGCTTTCAGTATGGTACCTTTGGAACCACAAGTAACCCTTCAGCCATGGTAGCTAGACCCTAGCGGATATTTAAAAATAGCAGGTTTGTGCATTTAGTCCTTCTCAGGCAAGCTCAGGAGTTTAGTGTTGCCGTAGCCCACAGGAACAACGCTGCACGACACTTTCTTTTTCTCAAAGTAAGGCTTGTGATATATGCTGTTCACATAACCTGGTCGAAATTAATATATATATAAATGCTTGAAGATCCACTCATTACTAAAAGTGTGTGTCATATAAAAACTAAAGTGATGGTCAAAGTTGTCACAGTGAAATTTAAGGTGTGCTGATGGATTCACGTCATCAACTCACTCATTGAGTAACATTACAAGTAAACGTTCCACCTTAAAAGTCGCCGACAGTCGGCACAGTGCAGGTATTTTTTTCTCAGACTCCAGCTGCTGCAAGAGGCAGCAAAATGTCCTTTAATTTATAGTTACAGTGACCGTCCTCTATTGATCAATCAACAGACTGCAGTGTTCACAGCTCCACCTTTTAGTACCAGATCTGTGTGCTAGGTACCCCAACAGAGGGGGGACCAAAAATGGTGACGGTACAGAACGGTTCCATTGGTACCATCCACAACTTTACACAGTGGGAAAAAAAGCGCACCTAACTGAACCGTACTGTGCTGCTCAGTAGAAACGGGGCTATAGTGGCTTCAGTTTCCCACCAAAGAGGGCTGTCTGCGTCAAGGTTAAAGCGTTGTACTTGACCCCCATTTTGTAGGGAAAACACCTAAAATGACATACCCAAATTAAAATGACTGTAGCTTCTGAACCGCTCTGACTACACGCATGCATGAGGTCTTACCAGAAAGAAAACTCCCTGAAGTTGCTTGTGAAAGTGTCAGAAACACTGTAGGTGATACAGAGACAGAGTAATAGGCCTCTGAAATCAGTAAAAAATTGAAGATTTTGCCAAAAATAAAATAAAAAATGTGTTTCAGGATGAATAACTGTCTGTGGCTTCATCTGAGCAGGTAAATGACACTATGGAGCTGTAGGCACACTATCAATGAACATTTGTTTCAAATTTGAAGAAGATTGCTCAAAGTATGACCACTCTACGGTGTTTTTTCTATGAAAAGATCCAGGCGAAGCTCCAAATGACAAGAGCGCTCACTCCGCTTCAAAACAGTACTATCAGTGATCAAACAACACTCAGCCAGCTTCAAACATTGTACCTTATCTAAATCAGGTGTGATTATGATAGCTGATGTTGTTTATGACACAGAAACACCATAAAAAATCACCAAATAAAGCCATATGAAAAGTGAAAGTTATGATCCCACTTTCAAGAAGGTATATCTCAGCCAAAAATAGTGGTAGGAGTGAGACTCTTACCTTTTATAAAACAGCTAAGTTATTAGTTTATCTTTTCCCGTTGAAAAACGGCATGACATGACTTGTCACCACTCATCGTGATTTTGGACTTTGTGTATTTAGGCTGCTCTGGTGCGAAATACATAATAAATAAGGGAAAAACGATGTTATTTTTGAAAAGTCGAGAGCTTCCTGAATCCAGCAATACCAAACATCACATGGTTTGATGACGTAGTGTACCTGGGAGATACCATTTAACAGAGGAGGAGGGGAGCGAGGACGTCGGCGTCCTGGTGGAGTTAGAGAGGTTAAAGTGGTGAAAATATTGCAAATATACCGTACACTTAAAATAATATAAATTTTTTAGGTTGCGAAAATATACTTTGCTGCTGCCCCTGTCCACAGCGGTACATAGCTTAGCTTCCATGGCAGTGCTTCTGTCTGCTTCTCCAAACTGGGGGCATGCTGGCCGCTCTCTACTTAAGGTAATGCACTAACTTTGAATAAGTATGTCATACAACCCCACTTCAAAAAATCTGAACTATCCCTTTAAGTGAGAAAATATATGGATTCTTGTGTAGTCATATTAATTGTGTTGGAAGTTGCAGGAATAATTGAGATGAGTGTGAAGGAAATCAAATTAGGATATTACGATAAATCATGCACAGATGTTGCACAATTTTATTTCTAAGCTTTCAACATGATGAATGTTAAATTTGCGAGTCAGTCACACGCAGCGTCGACCCATGTGCTTTAAAATACCAGTTGTAAACATATGTTTCCTCTCAGTAACAGCTCCACTGGTGGAATGTGAGGGTGCTTTGTGAAACTAAATATCTCCATGTTTACCAATCGAGAGTCTCCCGGTCTGTTAATTACCATCCATTACCAACATGTCCAGACTAAATGACTTACTGATTTATGGAAAAAAAGAAATATTCATCCCTTATTTTCCTCTGAACTTTATTTATCAACCGCAAAGTGAAGCAGTTGATTGACTTTACGGGGCCCCGGAGGAGTGCCGACATGTAGAGACCATTTGAAAATAAAACACACTCAAGTGGAAATTGGAATTGGGATTTGAATGGGATCCTGACTTGGCCCCTGAGTTAAGCATCCACATACCAAAGCATTATTAATATTATAAAGCCAAACAGCAGTCGACACATTTCTGGGTCAGGCTTCTTTGCCATTGCATAACAACACTGGTTTTATTGGGAGGTTGCCAGATGTCTCCACATGTTTCATCATGATTCCAAGCTTGTTGTAAGAGATGAAAAAAAAACCCTCCCCAATGGTTTGACAACCTGCTGCTGGGAGGTTGTGTATCCAAGAAATTAAATCCGTGGAAGCAGCCAGCATGATCAGGTGTGTTTGTACTGCTCTGGGGAGTTTAGAAGAAATGTTGGTTTCTTTTTGAGCAGATTTTTAATAAGGCATACTGACTCCTAGAGAGAGGTCAGTGAAGACTTTATACCTCCCAGCAGCACAAACGACTACAGACAGCGTTACATCTTCTTCCCTGTGCCTTTTAATACCCTGGGTATAAAACATCACACACAGCCGGCTTGGTAAACATGACCTCACTGTGTGCAGCTTGATAATGTCACTTGACAATCAAGCGTCACTGTTTTTTTTTTTCTTCTCAAACCATTTGATGCCACCTGAGGACTTTGATTTACATATTTGAAGCAGCCGTAGTTATCTTCTTCGGCCCTTTCAGCACATATGGACTAATAAACCGTTTCCCTTGGTAACTCCAGAAACCAGACATGAACTGATATGTACAGTACATGCTCTGCAAGCTCAGGGATCATTGTGTTTCTTTCATCCCTCAGATCAGTGACAGATAATTTTCATTTCCTTTCAGGTTGATGAGATCTACCACGACGAATCTTTGGGGACCAACATCAACGTTGTCCTTGTCCGCATGATAATGGTCGGGTACCGACAGGTAAGCTATGTCACATGTTGGTGTTATTGTCTATCTGTGCAAATGTTTAAGACATCTGGGGCAGCAGCAAGAGAATTCCTGGTTTAAACCCTGCGTCAGCGTGGGTTTTCTCCAGGTACTCCGACTTCCTCCCACAGTCTAAAGACATGCAGGTTAATTGGTGACTCTAACTCTTCCGTAGGTGTGATTGTGAGTGTGAATGGTTGTCTGTCTCTATGTGTCAGCCCTGTGATAGTCTGGTGACCTGTCCATGTATATGTATAAAAGATCCCTATGTGCAATATGTGCACACTGTGTCTGTTCTCTATGAGACAGTGAGTTTGGCTCAGCGGGCTAAAAAAGAGTTTTTATCTGGCGGTGTCATCATGGAGAAAATTATTATTGTTTAAGGGCGTGGGAAAGTAGCATTCGACCAAAATTTGAATGTTTGAATTTGAATACGTAATACATACGGAATACTTCTGGGAAGCTACAGAATGATATAAAAATGTTCAAATGAATAAATAAAGGACCCAACTTTTAAACAATTATTTAGTGAGCTTCAGTGTTGTTGGTTATAAGATTTTGTTAGCGTTATATCCAGCCACGTGAGGTGATTCCTCCTGTTTCCAGTGTTTATGGGAAGCAAAGCTAACCTACCACACAGACAGGAGAGAGGTGTCAATATTCTCATCTGCAGCAGGAAAGTGAAAATGTTTCTTGACCAAAATGTTGAACTATTCCTCCAAGACTGACTCAATCAGTGCATGTCCATGCATCATAGTAACTTAGCAGTCACCTTTCTGCAGTAATGTGATTTCCTGCTGTCATGCATGTATATTAGAAACCTGGCTTCTGTAATTGTGGCAGGGGATTAGAGAGACCCGAGTGATTTCTCACACGGCCAAGAAATCATCTTTCTCTCAGTTGGACTGAGGTCTCTCTGATCCCTTACCTCAATTGGGTTTCTAATCAGCTTTTTACATGCAAGCATGTGTATGACAAAGAAAAGTATGTGATGAACAAAGTCAAAATGAATCAGTTTCTACTGCTGAACATTAAAGTATTTGTAAGATTGAGACATGTTTCTGTCACTGTAGAGCTGTATCGTCTAACAACAGTACAGTTAAAATAAGTGCATGCAAATTAAGTTTGTGGATGTGCGTGTGCTGCTGAGTGGAAGTGTGGGTTTATAGTATCAGGTTACTGCAGGCACTGCACTGGTTTCTCTGAGGAGCCTGGTTTGTTGGGTGCATGTCAAAACACTGACTGGATTTATAACAGTAGCCAAGGAATCCCCAAAATAAAAAAGGGAAAGATCACATTTTCATTGTATTTTGGGTCGGCCCCGCAGCTGGTTAGAGGCCCCAAGCAGTGTGCGATGTGTTTATGCTTTGGGTCGTTGTTTAATTAAAAGTGCGACTTGGAAAAACTGCATTGAAAATCTCACCACATTTAACCTCATTGCAAAAAATGTGATTTGAGAATGCATAATACATAATGATAACACCACCCAGCGCTGCATGCTGTTACATACACTACAGACTATTAGCTCAGCCATGTCGGGGACTGATAACAGACAGATCATATGTTTACAATGCAGAGTACATACACGCTGACACAGTCCCATCTTGCTTTTATTACTGTCATTTAACATTCAGTACATGCTGCTTGCTTCAATAACCTGTATTATGTAAGAACTATGGAGAGACATTCTTCCATCGCTGTGCAGGTGCATGTAGAGAGGAAGGTGTATATCACAAATAACACAAAAGACAAACAGCCATATTGGTGTAATGTATGTTGACGGTGCTGAGTGGCATTTTGAGTGTTTGTTGGTGTGTGTGTGTGTGTGTGTGTGTGAGGTAGTAAAAAGGGGGAATGAGTTAGAACAGGCTAGAGGTGAAGGGTCATCTACCCCCCTCTGTCTTCCTCTGCAAATTCAATTCAGCACATTAAAAATTCAATGAAATTACAGCTTCCTTTTCTTCAGTCACCCCCAGACTCTGGGGAGGGGGCTGACTGATGGAGGCCACCACCTGCTGCTCCTTTACCTGTATAAAACAACCCCCAGACCCAAAGGGAGGGGGTCTGTTTGTGAGGTTGGAGGTGTGTGTATGCTTTCATGAAATCAAAAGGTCCTTTTTTCTTTTCTTTTTTCCCCGCTACCCCTTTCTTTTAATCTCCCTTTCCCACCGCTATTTTTCATGTCTCCTGTTCCATTCCGGACTCCCTGGGTAGGCAAGTGAGGTCAGGGTAAGGGTGACGGGGTTGGGGGTGTGGTGGTTTGGCAGGGGCGAGGTAAAGAAGATGGCAAGCATTTCTTGCACATGATATGTTCAAGGACCGCTGGGAATGTGAAAAGCCGACAATAATTTCTGTTCTCACAGTTTATGATGTGGACGTTTGTGCCAAATGTGAAGAAATTCCCTTCCTGAGATACCGCTTTCACAAGAATGGGACGTACAGATGGACGAATAACTCAAAAACATTATGCTTCCATAAAGGCATGGATGAATCTGTTAGGGCTGCCCTAGACTACGAATTTTCCTAGTCGACCAATAGTCGTCATTTAGAGCCATTAGTTGATGAGTCGCCCACATGTTTATGATATTAATTAGATTATTAAATGATTTATTTTGGGCGGGGAAACACAATGGTTTGAGTTGAAGGTGTGAGAAAGAACAGTATCAGTAACATTGTTAACACTGTGCTACATTACAGAGAAACACAAAACCGTACTAATGAACCTTCATTAATATAGGCCTATATTTTATCTACAAGTGCACGTCACACACTGAGCGAGCCGCCTGTTAATGACACTGTGGGCTAATGGGCATGTAGCTACTTCCATGTTTCAGATGATACGTCATGTTTGTAGTCGACCAATGAAGATGAGTTTACATATCACCTTGGGTTCGTCCTTCACCTTCTAAAAATGATCCCACACTTTGGATTTCCTACCCGACATGTTATTAACTAGTCTGTGGAATAACCGCAGGTACCAGCCCTGGAAATTAACCTGACTCCTGTCTGACTGCTGAGCGTGGCCACTTCCTGTGTCTGTCCTTTCAAATTAAATTCCCACATGGTCCTAGTTAATATGAAATCTTGCTGACTAACGACCTCTCTGGTCGACTAACGTTTGATCCCGGGCAGCCCTAGAGTCTGTTTTTCTATTCACCTGTTGCTACTTTATGTCACCTTTATGTCTTTGGTTGTTATCAGGCTGCAAATTAAGCAGTGAAGAGGTGCAGATAAAGTATGCATGGTGACAGACACCAGTGATTTATTATCTCTGAGGGCCTTCTAATCTACATAACTCACTGATGCTGCCTGGAGACTGGGCATTTTGCATTTTGGCTCTGCTGTGTGGTTGCCAAAGCTGAGAGATGCTGTTGTCACAGAGCCCATTAGATGAGCTCAAATGTGTCGAATATTTCACCGGCACGGACTGGGAGCAGAAAGAGAAGAAGAAAGGCAGATGTTTTCACCAGTCCCTTTTATCCTTACCTCACAAACTGTATGAGCTGTGTTGTTGCCAGTCGACACACTATTTCATCCTCCACTGAGATTTTGTTTTTGAATTGGCTGGATCTTCATAAACGGGAGACAAAACAGAATAAGTTTTTCCATTTCCACTTTGTTGTGCTTTCTCGGTTTCCAGCAACAGTTTCCACTTGGAAGTCGTCCGTCTGCACATGTAATTCAAAGCCAGTTTGAGGAAAAAGAAACACACACACACACATACGCTTAGTTTTTATGTTCACAATGCAAATCTGGCTCCTGCTAAGGACACGCTGAGCAGCGGGGAAACAAGATGTTAGTTAGGAATGTAATTTACATAAGCATATTTCAGTTAAGCAACATGAACTGAAGAGCCCTTTGATTTGCAAACCATTGATTATTCTGTAATGAGTGGAAACACTCGAGTGATATCCATGTGAAAAACTGGATGTGATGCTGACTCATCAAACACAACAATGACCTCTAATTACTGATGATTTTTAATCAGTAATCATAAGATTTAATTGAATTAACATACATTTACATATCATTTACACAGGCCTGTACTATATTACCATACAGAAAACTTAGAAAGGCTCAGGAGGTTTGTTCAAAACAGATAAAAGCTTTGTCTACATTATAGATGGCATATATACCAACTAATAGGGGTGCACTGATTTATCGGCTGAACATCGGTATCGGCCGATATTCGCCTTGTTGACTGTCATCGGTCTATCTCAATTAAGATGACATTCACTGATGGCAGTGGCCAATGTCGTGTCACCTTAGTTTGCACAGGCTAAAAAGCAGGGCTCAAGACAAACGGCGTCCCGTCATCCCGTCGTCCGGAGGGACAGTAGAAACGAACAGAGATCTTTCCATTGGGATGCCTTCAGGACAAAAGGAAGCAAACTCACTATTGTTGAGTCACGGGACGCACCCTGTTGTTTGGCTAATAATGCTACGATGGTAACAACATGTTTGTGCTGACATCGACAGGAGGAGAGCTAGTTAGCGTTAGCCATTAGCTATTAGCTAGCCGGAGGCTGGAAGAAACAGCTGACAGAGGCTATGTTCAGTTAGATCAGGGGTTTTTGCATTTTACATTTCTCATTTCTTGATGATTCTCATCATTGTTGTAGGCTTAAAGAAATACATCCTCCAATTGTAAAAATTTGTAGCCTAGACACCAACAACAACAAAAAAATTTTTTATATTTCTTCAGCTACATCTACGACTTGGTGCCTTTTCTCTAAAGTCTGCTGAACTGTAAAAGTGTTGGCTAGTCTCGAGTTTCCACAGCTCGGCTAGCTATGGATTCCAAATCCAAAAAAGTAAAAGTCTCCCAGGAAAATAGAGCATTTAATACTGTGTAAACAGATTCATTTGTTTTCGCTGCAAACTCTTAACAAATGATTATAAGTAGCCCAGTGCAGAGTAGCCACCTAGTGGTAAAACATGATATGATATTTGTTCTGTTGATATGCTCTTTTAGCCACAATAGTCCGTGTTACCTTCATCAAAAAGCTGAAACCCCTGAGTTAGATTATGATGTGTTCAAGCTCTGTTCAGTAAAAACGATTATTTGGCAAATTATAATGTTATCATGATCTATTTATATGTAAACTTGTCAAATAGTTTTAGTCGATGAAAATTCCTAACCTTTCAGCCCGCTTTGAGTCATTATGTTTCCTATATGTATTTTTATCTTTAAACAAATCCAGTGAGGCTAATTCATGTATCAGAAATTAGAATCAAGGTGACAGTTTGTATAAAATTTTTTTTCTACAACTGCAAATAATTTCTTCACACTTACAAACTGTCATTTCTCCAGCAGTTTTTGATTTATGAGCTCACACTTGCTGATCATCATTTGAAAAGCTCAACATCTCTATTCATGGTCTCAAAAACTTTGACACCACAAATAACTAATATGAGACAACTAGGGTTTGTCCCCGGGTTCGCTGTAGACTCTGACTTATTGATCTCACTGTTAAGAGGCAGAGGAATAACTTGATTAAAGCCTGAATTCTTTCTTAATCTGCAACATGCCAGTCTGGAGGTTCAAACTTGTGTCCTCTCACTGAGTTGGTGATTTAAACTTTTATCTCTGTCAGAGAAAACTCAGCTTAGTTCAGACTGTTTACTTCCTGCTCCAGTGTGAGGGTTTTTGCTGGCTAGCGAAACATCCTGGTGCAGACTTTACTGGAGTTTACCAGCCTGTCACTCAGGTGGCATTTGAGGATAATTACAAGCAAAGCCGTCTCAGCTTTCAGTATTCGATAGTCCACCACGATTATTTTAGTCACATCTCGTCGATGAAAATGAAACAGATTTTGCCCTAGTTTTTATGGTCAAGATCTATTTTAAACATGTCATTGTCTCGTTTTTGTCATGGAAAAAAGTCGCTGACGATACATTTTTGTCATCATTTTATTTAACGCAATTAACACAATTTAAACAATTAAAACACATTTTTCTTGTAAAAAAGGGTTGTTTTATGAATGTGTGTGGCTGACTTTGTGCTCATTCAAAGGTGGTGTAATGAAGAGCTGAATGACTTTGAAACAGTTCAGTTATTTATTCATTTTTTTGTATGTAAGATTTCTTTGTTTCCCTGGCACAAAAGGAGAAACAAATAACAAAAAAATGCTATTGTTATTTTTAAACAGCCAAGAATTTCACAGTCATTGCATCCTTACTAACTCAATTTGTAAGCTTTCAGTAAAACCTACAGTGAGTTTTTAATAACAATGAACCAGCCGCTGTTTGTGGACTGTTGCCCCAGCTTTCCTCCCAGTCTGATGTTTTGTAACAGTTATGAGTACCTGAGCAGGAGCAGTGCTGAGGGTGAATTTCAAAGTGAAACTAAATGCACACCTAAACTGAAATTGTAACAGTGAAGATTATTTTCCTTTCACCTCAGCAGGGGCGGTGTCCTTTAGAAGGAATCGCTAAAGTGTGCAATCACTGTTTACTGTTTCTGCTCACGGTTGGAATGGTAAAACCCTCTTCCTCTCCCTTGCAGTCTATAAGCCTGATCGAGCGTGGCAACCCATCCCGCAGCCTGGAGCAGGTGTGTCGATGGGCCAACACGCAGCAGCGGCGCGACCCCGACCACGCCGAGTACCACGACCACGCCATCTTCCTCACAAGGCAAGATTTTGGTCCCGCAGGTATGCAAGGTACTGTATTTTTCTCGATCGAGGACTGTGCAGACTGAGTGCTGATATCTGCTTCCATTCACAAAGGGGTTGGCTTCAAGTCTTGCCCAGGTAAGGTCGATGGAAAAGTGGCCGCTGCGGCTGAGGTCGCACATCCAATTCTGCCCGCTGCAACCTCACAGGGAAATATCACTGAGTAGCTTTCCAACACCTTGCTGACTTGATGCCACCCTGAAAAATTCAGATTGTTGAAGAAGTTTTTTGGCATGTAGAGAAAGAACAGAAGTGTTTGTGTGTTAGTCATTTAGTAAACTAACTGTTGTGTTTCTGTTGTGTAGAGTTCAGTATGAGCTTTTCTCCACTCAACCCTAATAACACATGTATGCAGTCATGTAGAGGAGTTTATACCATACATGTTCAGTATTTGTCTCATTGTGTATTTCTTCTTTTCAGCCCTTCAAAACAAAATTTTGAAGCGAGCAGCCTAACCGCCAGAGAAACTTGGTCCAGAATGAACAAACATCCTCTGTGCTCAAGTTCAATATCATGCATTGACCTGTGTATATTTTTAACTTTTAAAGCACACGTGTCATGTTTAGAGGACAACCCGAGGCTACCTGGTTTGCCTGTCGCACCTCCGGATGTTGCCATAGCTGCCGCTGTGTTGTGTTCAAAACAAGCCCAGTTTCTATGGCGCCTTGCACTGTATTGAGCTGGAACCAACGCTGTGTGTCGGGGTCACGAGCAGACATCACACTCTCCTGTCAAAGCTTAGCTGTGAGATGGTAGATCCTATATACAAACACAGATACTGTGGCTTTGGGATGTGTAGAAGGAAATCTGTTCAGTTTATCTGCAAAGCAGATGCACTGAATGAATGTTTGAAAATGCACTGTGAATGATTTCAAGTGTTTATCATCTGCTGTCCTTGCCACGAACTTATTTCCCATGCATTGTGTTCAGTGTGTGAGGTCATCAACCTGACAACAGACTCCACCACCATTATTTTAAACCCCTAGCTGCTGCTGCTGCACCTTTTGCTTCAATGTGCAAAGCCTCCCTTCATGGGAATGTGAACTGCATTCTCCTGAATCCCTCTTATCTGCCTTTCAGATAAAGGGTCACGCTCCACAACTGCTGCTTTCATGTTTTGCTACTTCACTCGCAGCACTAAACGTGTCCATTTTGTTGTCATTCATGAAAAGAACCATCAACCACCTGGATGAAAAGCTGGCGTCGATAAACATCACACTGTAGCAAAAAAAAAAAAAAAAAGACTAAAGCTATGACTGACTTGCTCTTTTTCAACACCACCAACATAACTTCATCACCGGCTGTCTATCTGCTGCATTTTCTGCTTTTTACCTGCATGCCAAAAAGTCTTCTGATGGTCAGAAAGCATGAAAATTTATCTGAAAGCCGCCAAAAGGAGGCCGGGAGGAGTGTGCTTCTGAACCAAACCAAAACGCGCTAAGCTGAATCGCTGCACACCTTCTTGATCGAGTTATGTTTAATGTTTGTGCTTTGCTTAAAAGTTTGGTGAACTGTGTGAAATGTTGTAATGCCCGGGGCGGATGTCTGCTGGGCTTCCGAGCTTGCTGTTTACTTTGGGACTTTCTGTACAGAAAGTGAGGAGATGGTCGATATCACTGACACGCAGGAGCCTCAGGCTTCTTCGATCCACCCAACTTGCTGAAACTGTCTGTTGTATCTTCTGCCAGCTAGATTGTTTTAAAGGGATAATACATCCCCCAAATGAACATTTGTGTATCAGTAGCTCACCCCATGTTATGTTGAATTCATTAAGAACACATTTTTCTCAGATGCCTGCTGTGACAGAAGAACCCGAAAACAGAGAAAACGGCTGATGAATTGGAGTAAAGGGGGGTTGTGTTTAACAACAGTAAAGCTGTATCAAAACATCTGTTGACTCTCACACTACTCACGCACTATTATCTAAGGTAGGATTCACTTCTGTGTTGAATCGATGTCGTACCCTACGCCGTAGCTTGACGTGTGCCTCTCCTGAAATGTAAGTACACATCGCGGCGACACAGACCCAAACCATTTCCCTCAGTAGAAACGCTTTTATTAAGAAACAATAAATTGTGAAGACAATAAAGCCTCCACCAAAACAGCATTTTAAGTGGCTTCATATGAGCAAAGGTAATCTCTGCTCGTTGCTAGGCTAATTTATACAGTGTAAAATGCCATAGGCTTGTGCTAATAAGGTTAGCATGTTGTATTTGTTTGGAAAACGTGTTTAGTATAAAAACAGTTGTTTTGTCAGTGAACCTTTTAAGGTTGTAATGGAGCTAAATTTTGTAACATTACCTTTGTGAAATGTTGCTGTTGTCCCTGGTTTTATATGAGAAGAGGAAAAGTCAGCTAGCTGCTAGGCTAATTTATACAATGTATAATGCCATAGCTTGTGCTAAAAACATTAGCATGTTATATTTGTGGGGAAAATGTGTCCAGATAAAGACAAGTGCTTTGTCCTCACAAAAACCCCACCGCTGACGAGTGTTTTGACACAGACACCACTGCATAAGTATAAATGCTCACAACAGCTTCGATCACGTGCATAGGCTCTGCATACAGCTGGTGCACAGGTATAACTCCCGCTGAAGTCTAATTTATCCAGTCATATGCTCAATACTACTGAAACACATGCATTAAAACTAAAACCTCAACATTTAAAACTGGGCTGAGAGTGAACTTTTTCTATGCTCTCTTCAAAGCCAGACTCCATTGACAAAAACAGTCATTTTAACTCACTGAACACTGGAGCTGCTGGTCTACCGCTGCCTCAGCCAGTAAGTTTTTTTCGTGTTATTGTGTGACTTCTGTATTTTAAAGGGTGAGTTTGGATTCACCAAAGTCGCACAATAACACAAACTAACTAACTGGTTGACCAGCAGCTCCAGTGTTCAGTGAGATAAAATGACTGTTTTGTCAATGGAGTCTGGCTTTGAAGAGAGCATAGATAAGTTTCACTTCCAGTTCAGTTCCCTGTTGGAAAGGGCTGTGTGTTTGAGAAGTCCTGGGTATACGACTGGCTAAACAAGACTTGGGTTATACTTCACGAGTTGTGTGGGAGTTTATAAAAAGATGTTTTGATATAGTTTTGCTGTTGTGACTTCAATTCACTAAGACTTCTTCTCCATTTTTGGATTCTTTGTTCACCGCAGCTGGGCAAGATAAACATTTTTTTCCACAAGTATGAAATACAAGTGGCTTTGTTTTTTCTATTTTGAGAGTGTTGCTGCCTAAACGCAACCCACTGCATCAGATCAAAAGCAGTACATTCATACAGACATGTTGGTTCATCATAGAAAGAGACTTTCAAAGCAGTCGCCATAGCTTGCTGTTGAACATGTGCTAATCTTAGCTCAGGAGTCAATCAGACCATGACAGTGATGTCAGTCACATCTTACATACCCTTAGCTCAGATTTTCTACCTTGATCATCATGAGAATGTCATGACCTTCATCCTGGTACTTGATTATTAGGGTTGTGTGGTCTTGTCTGTTTCCCAGGTTACGCTCCAGTTACAGGGATGTGCCACCCACTGAGGAGCTGCACTCTGAACCATGAGGACGGCTTCTCCTCGGCCTTTGTGGTTGCTCATGAAACCGGCCATGTGTGAGTAATGGCAATTAAGCCGATAGTTTTGTATGGTAACTGTAGTCTATAATCAAAGGTAGGTAATGAGTCTTTGTTGTCTTAACAACACAAACCATCTGTTTGCCTCAGCATGTGCGTGCAGCACTTAGCATGGCAAGATGAGCTTATTAAGCTCTGCTGGTAGAAAAACAACTGAGTAAATAGATGCATCACATGTGAGCGTGTATACATAAGTATGTACATTAACCACATGTCGTGTGTACTCTACACTTTATTAGGTACATCAACACACCTGCTCAACCACAAAGCCTATTTTTATGATGCCTATTATGTCATAGATATTCAGCTGTATGTTGAGGCGGTACTTTAAGGTGGTGTTGTTCTGCTCTGCGTTATATTGAGTGGTGTTTCTAATATTCTATAGCCCAGTTCAGACCAAAGGTTTCCGACGAGATGAGTCAAACACCCAACTTCTTGCAACACGCCATCCTGCAATGTTCTAAAAACCTGCCGGTTCACACCAATGCAACTAGATGAGACGGAGTGTCATCTAGTTGCAACAACTCTGTACTTCTGTTTTAATTTCCAGCTTTTCAGGCTTACTTTGTGGCTGAATATAATTTGTAGCTTCTTAAAATATGAATGAGGATAGTGATAGTGAGATACTGGCTACAGGTGCATCTTACTCTATAATGACGAAAACTCTGTCTGTGTGTGTCTGTTCCATGTTTTTCTCCTCACGGACTTCAATCCATGTGAAATTTGGCACAGTGGTAGAGGGTCATGGGAGGATGTGAATGAAGCAATATTACATCAATTGGCCAAAGGGGGGCGCTATAGCAACCGATTGTAATTGCAAACTTTGAATGGGCATATCTCATGCCCCGTATGTCGTAGAGACATGAAACTTTGCACAGAGATGCCTCTCCTCATGAGGAACACATTTGCCTCAAGAACCCATAACTTCCGGTTATATAGATTTTCCGCCATTTTGAATTTTTTGAAAAACACTTAAAATTGGTCTCTTCCTAGGAAGTTTGACCGAACTGGATGAAACTCGGTGAACATAATCTAGGGACCAATATCTAAAGTTCCCTCTTGTCAAAAGTTGGAAAACTTACTAAAACTGAGCTTCTATAAGGCAATGAATATTGGGAGGGCGTGGCTCATCACATAAAGGTGTATAACATCTCAAGGGTTTCACCAATCACCACGCAACTTTGTAGAACAGGACGCCTCAAGGTGACTGGAGAAATTTTACTCTAATTGGCAACTGGGTGGCGCTATAACCACAGAAAAATGCTTAAAAATGGTTAAAATGCGACCAATCGCTGTGGCTCCCCCTGTGGCCCAATGTTGTTGTTTTTTTTTCTAATTTTTGGTATGAATAAGTCATGGTATGGTGTGCTGTACATAATCACAGAAACTGTCAGTGTGTCATTCTGTCAGTCAGTCATTCTGTCTGACCCACGTTTTTCTACTCACTGACGTGGTCAATCTATGTGAAACTGCACATAGGCATTGAGGATTGGTATAGGTAAAAGGTGACAAAGCTACCAATGGGTATGGACTAGTTTGCAGTAGTGATGAAATGGTGAAAAACATAAAACGAGCATCAGATGGACTGAATTCATAATAAATACTCCACAATAATATAAGTAACTACAAGCACCCCAAGTTCCGACGACTATGATCTAATGTAGTTTCTTCTTATATTTGTTCTTAAGAAAGGTCCAAGGTCAAGACCGCAGAATTGTTTGCATCTGTCTTTTTATAATAATGAATCCCCTTGTCTGTGTAAGTTGAGAGTGCGTGCCAGGTTATTACCATTTAGCATAGATAAACAATCTGCAAATCCCCATGAAGGGGCATGAGACTGCAGGGCCATGTGCTCTTACCTGAGAACAAATCCTGAACAAGAAAAACATTGGTGAAGGTCAGAATCTTCTTGAAAACTACTCGAGTGGGTTTTTCAAAGACATTTCTTCTTAATAATGGCATGAATGAGGCTCACTGTGAGCTTCATAAAGACAGATGTTGCCGACTGGCAGATGGGGTGACTGTGGCTCAGAGGTAGAGCAGGTCATCCATTCATCAGAACATCAGTTTTTCAATCCGTGGCTCCTCCAGTCTGCATGTCAAAGTATCCTTGAGCAAGATACTGAACCCCAAATTGCTCCTGATGGCTGTTTTATTGGTGTGTGACTGAATAGCAGGTGGCACCTTGTATGGTAGCCTCACCTACCAGTGTGTGAATGTGTGTGTGAATTAAAGAAAGGTGCTAAACATGTGCTAGATGTTGTAGCAAAGGTGTTGTATTGGATTACATTTGACTGTACAGGTGTACCAAATATAGTAAACGCTGAGTGTATGTTATCAACACCACTTTTAATATGTTACTGAACAATATTTTCGAATTCTACTCTGATTTCTCCAAACTTTTCTCTACGATTATAGGGTGACTGTAGGATATTATGATTTGATGGTGTGTCACCACAGGACATAAAAACCTCTGTTTAAACATTGATTTTGCATCATGTAATTAGATTTATATATGGATCATTTAACATAATTTAAAATAGTTGATTACAAAAAATACCAGTGTTCAAAATTCCAATTAAAAAGCCCTGCAATTGAACATTAAAAAGTATATTTGTAGTAGCAGTAACTTATAGGCAAATTGCCCTAAAACTTCAGTTAGTTAGTACCCCAGGCTATTATTTGCTTATATCCCTGAAATCAACAGGCCTATATTTGGGACAGGCATTTAATTGCTTTCACACAAAACTGTTGCTCAGCAAAGATCAGAAATTAGGCTTCAGATAACATATCAGTTATGAATTGTTCATTTGATCTACCTCCGACAGACAGGACATCAGAGAGAGTTACACCACTCGATGATTACGGCACCCAGCATACCAACACAACACCACTTTATCCTGCTAAAACAATACCCCACAACTTGGATTCATTTTTAGTGATAGTGTTTTAGTGTTACGTTTCTAGTGGTATAGGGCAGCCAGAGGGCGGCAATTCAAAGGCCCTTTGGCTGGAGTCCTGTGAAATGGAGCAGGCTTTATGAAATGTTTGCTGAACATTCAGAGGGACACAATGGTTGGTTGTAGCCGGTGATTTTAGAGCAGGTGTTCACTTGCTCTGGAGGTGCTTTTTGTTATTACTAAGTGTGAGGGTCAATCGAACGTGAAGACATTCGGATGAACTATTGTTGAGAAAATTGAAAAGACTGCACACATACTGTACGTATACTGACAGACGGGGGACTCCTTACATTTTACTTAGATGAAAAAAGAGGTTTGTTGAAAGCTGCATAGTCAAAGTATTACAGTTTTTCTTAAAGAATGTCACTGCTTCTTTAAGCAGCTTCTTTAAGTTTATGAAATTTAGATTCTGTCCACCTCTCTCCAGCTCTGTGGCCCCTTCTTATTTAAAGACAGTGGAGCGATGGTCTGCTTCAACTCTGTTTCTGAACTCAGTAGGAATCATTAGCAGCTTCTGCCTGTGGCAAGAAGTCATAGCTATTATCACTTAAAGTGCTGGTCCACTTCACACAGACTTCCTCTAATGGAGCTTTAAGGGCTTATGACGTCTGTGAACACCCGCTGCGGCACAGACATAGAGAAAGTGGCTAGAGAGACTTGATTGTATGTCATTTTGCACAAAAGCGCTGGTCACTAAGAACCTCTTCATTGGAAAGGGGGGCAGACTCCATGCTGTGCCTGTCAGTGCACGAACAAAACAAAACAGCTTTAATATCAGCCAAAATGTCTCTGCTATGTGGTCACATTAATGGCTGACAGAAGAAATAAATTAATGTGAAGAAAAAAACAGGGTAAAAATCTGTACAAAGTGGCAACTGTGGTCCATTATGCTTGTCCTGCTATCACTGCGCTCACCGTCCTTTTTATAAAGTCACAGCCTAACTTACAAGAAAATCTAAAAAGACAGAAAATTATGAAGAAATAATGGACATTGAATAACTAACAAAGGCCCCGTTTCCACCAAACACTTTTGGTATGGTACCCTTGGAACCAAAAGTAACCCCTCAGACATGGTACCTAGACCCTAGGTCCGTTTAGTGTTTCGACTGCAAACAGTTACCCTACGCCTCTTTTCCACTTAGGTATGTGACTGGTGTGCGTAAATCCCTAAATATACAGACAATGCCTCTAGTGTCCAATACAAGGAAGTGCATTTCTTTAGGGATGGATAGAAACCTGATAGAAACTACCTGTAGCTAGTCATTTTGTCCGTTTTTCACCATCCAGTAGTTTGGAATATGCGCTTTGAACATTACCGGGACAAAAACAAGACCAATATTGCATGGCAACAAATAAGTGAAGATGTTGGCCTGCAAGGTACATTGCATATTTTGTGACATATTCAACTAAAAAGACATATGAACGGCTGAATGAGTCATAATGATGATCTGACTGTGCGTAATGTATAACCATATGCTAGCAGAATAAGATTCACAATATGTTAAAACGAGATAAACCAGTTCTTATTAATAGTACAATCTCACTTGACAATCAACACAAGCAGCTGCATTGAAGAAAATAGCCTGTTAGCTGAGCTAGCAGAAAGTCATACAGTCTCTCCTAAATCCACTGCAAAAGTTACATTTTTTTAACGTATGTAAGCAAATTCCGGACTGAAGTACTACAGAGGGGAGGAGTTTTGCAGGCACATCGGACATCACGGAGATTCACATAGGAAGGAATGGACTTCCGGTTGCCTCTTCTCAGTACACACATGTAAGTGGAAACGAGGCGACACTAGAGCCATCATCCATTTATCAACGGATCTACAGACACCAGTCACATACGTAAGTGGAAACGAGGCGTTAAATGTGGGTGGGGTTGTTGTCACTCACTGCTCCGTCCAGCACTCACTGTATTTCCTCATTAGTCTGCACCTTGTTTTTAGTTTGGGCATTTAGTCCTTCTTAGGCAAGGGCAGCCGGTCGTTAGCCCACAGGAACGACATTCATGATGCTT